CTATTCAACAGATACAAAGTATTATCCCGACGAAAATAGTGTTGTAAGGGCCCTAAAAAGATAGGCCCCAAGGGGCCTGGTTAGGTGAATACAATCGCGTGAGGAAGAATTTCTCATTCCAATGTATAAATGGTGTCCCGCGTGCTTTGAGCAACGTGTGGCCGAGCGTTGTCATGATAAAAAAAAAATAATGTGTCTTGTTCGTTGGTAGGTAAACTGGACCCATTTTCGTTCTAGTTTATTGTGTAAAGTGGTCAACTGATGATCACATTTTTTTTTTTTTGAAGCACTTAAACATTCATCATCTTCAGAAAACTTTTTCATTCATCAGACAAACTTTTTTCTAACCAAACGAACGTTCTTTCAGATGACATCGAGGATGGGAAAACAATTCAAATTCAAACAAAAGTTATGATCTTTTAAAAACAAAAGAAAAGGTGTCGAATTAATTTGCACATTTATTAAAACAAAAGAAGAAAAATCTTTTAATCGTTCAATCTATTGAAACGAGCGTATTAATATTAATTACGAATTATTTATAAATATTAAAAGATAGGAATTGTTAAAAGGGTTTGAAATAATTTCTAAAATCTTTTCCTCGTGATAACAGCTGGCGCCATCTTCTAGATAAAGTGACAGGCGTCAATTTAAATTTTTTAAAATACGCATCAATTATTTCATACCTTTTTTTACTCGAACTCATTTCAAAAAAGTATCTTAGATCTAGAGATAGAAAATATTTCTAAGAGAAATCTTACATTAGAATTAAAAAGTATCGTTGAAAACTGTTCATGAGATGAACTAATGAGATCCGTTTAAAAAAAAATTGTTTTTTTTTTTTTAATTTTACTATAGAATCATTTAATTAACTATTAAGATATAAATTCAATTATTGTAATAATTTAAAAGATTCGTGACGATTAAATGGTCAATAATTTTGTATGTTCATATCGATTTATCAAAATGTACGTACGGTTACGATCTTTGATAAATGATCATTCATACTACCACTCAAAATAAAAAACTATGACAACATTTATCGATCTATTTAAGATTTTTGATCAAGGTAATTAATCATTATGACAAATAAAAAAGTATACTTAAATTTTAATAAATGATCTTGCACGTGCAGCAGGCACTTTTGCACGGTTTAATAAAAACAACAAAAAATAATCAAAAAAAATATAAAACAACAAAAAAGTAAAGAAGAAAAAGAAGAAGAAGAAGAAGAAGAAGTAGTAGTAGAAAAAGAAGAAAAAGTTTGATTCGGTGGCTCGTGACTCGTGACTCTTGATCGCGTCGACACGACTTGTTTTACCTGGTCGCGTGCTGGACCCTTTCGGAGGAGGGAGATAGACACTCTCTCTCACTCTCTTTGAACAGAAAGAAAAAGAAAAGGAAGAGGAAGAGGAATAAGAAAAAGTAAAAGAAAGAAAAAGAGGAAGAGATAAAGAAAGGATGGAGAGAGAGAAAAAGGGTTTGCCGCCACGCGCCCAACGCCCTAAAGGTTAATCTAAGGAATCAAATCAAAGTACTTTTTTTGTCGGCTTCTCTCTCTCTCTCTCTCTCTCTCTGTCTTTTAAGATCACTGTCTTTTCTCTCACTGTATAAAGGCAAAGTAATAAGAAAGACAAAGATAGATGATAGAGTAGGAAACGATCGAATAGAAAGAAAAGGATAGATAATATACGTAAGACAGTTAAATAGAATGAAAGAGGGAGAGAAAGAGAGAGAGATGGATACACACAAGGTGAAGAAGGGTTTCCGACGGGTCGCATCAAAGACAATATTTAACAGACACGCAGATAGAAAACGCGCATATGCTGCGCACGTGCCGCTACAGGGGCAAGTAAAACGCGTACTTTGTTTGCTAAATAACATCCTCGTGAGTACCTTCAGTCGATCATGGTGCTATGTAGAATAAGCTTTTGAGAATACCGCGACTAGCTATAATATAATATATATATATACATATATATATATATAATGCACATGCATGCATACGTAGATATATAAATGTACCATATATCTGTATGTGTGATATGCGGGTATAATTACGCGAACGATAAATGAGTCATGTGTTTTCGAATAAACGAGATAAGAGTACCTACTCTTCCCCCTCCCTCCTCCCCCTACTCCTTACTCCTTTTTTATTACTTAGAGTTATGAAAGTTGCAAAAAACATTTCGAAAGAGGATTCTTCATTGATTGTTTAAACAATTTATTTCTTATTTGTTATTTTTATATGTGTGTATATATGGATGTGTATATATTTTATATATGAGTGTTAGTGTACACGTGGATCGTAAGATACTTAAGGGTCGTTGTTTTCATTTCCAAGAAGAGACCTTCTTGGAGTTAGTAAACATAGTATTTAAAGTTTTGACATTGATAGGTGAACGTTAGAAATCGGGAAGACGTGTCCAAAACGTTTATCTATATCTTGGACGATATGCTATGTAACGAAAATGAAGACACTATTAACAAGATATACTTTCTTATATTTATGTTTAATATATATATAAGTATATTTGTACGTATAAATAGATTTATGAGAAATAGACGTCTACTTTAGAAGAAGATATTCCGAATACTTACCTCATCGATAAGAAAAAAAGAGAAGAATCCTAGTTTAATCGATTTCTTCTCTATTATGATCGTCCTATTACCGTCCTAGAGGTAATTCTCAAGATTCAAGAATATCATTCAAACAAGTATGATCAACTGAATATCACGAAATACCATATCATAATAGGGTATTTATCGCACTTATCGAAATAATACATATACATATATTTATATCTTTATTACACAATGATTAAATTAATTAGATTTAATTAAATATTATACAATTATCAAAATAAAATTAAAAAAAAATCATGTTAGTACTTTCTATCGTATAAAAAGAAAATAAAAGCAAAGTACAAAATGATAATCGCAAAGATATTCGTATTGGAATAAATAAGATGATCAATTTGATTTTCTTTGATCGTTAAAAGAGTTGACAACAACAAAAAATAAAATAGACGAAGGGAATGATGGGGGTGCTGTTGTGGAGTGTGGCGGATGGGTGGGAGGGGGTTGAGGGTTGTACGGAAACGTTAGTAAAAGATTCGGATATCTTTTCGCGTCGGCGTCATCGCGCGAACTAAAGAATATCGCAGTTGTAATTAAGAAAACGGAGAAGCCCGTAGCCGGCGCCGGCGACGACGCCGCCGTCGAGGATCTAAGGGGGTGGAGAAGAGGCGCGAAGGGGTTTCAAACGAAGCTCGGTGGTGTAGCCCTGTTAGAAGAAAAAGGTAGAAGAAGACGTGGAATGAAGAGGTGTAACAGAGAAAGAAAGAAAATACCGAGAGTAAGAGAGAGAGAGGGGGGGTAGGGGTTGGTTGCTTCCTACGCGAAACGGGGGTGGAAAAGTCTGTGAAAAACGCGCGCATGACAATGCTATCCCCACCAAAATCCCTCTAACCAAACCTCCCCTTCTTCCTCCTGATTTTTCCTATTTTTTTTTCTTTCTTTTTCTTTTCTTCTTTGTATTTTTCTTTCTTTCTTTAACCCCTTTACAACCCACCCATCCATTCCTCCTCCTCATCCTACTTACTAACTTACTCCTCCCTCCTTCCTCTTTCGCGAGAACGAAGGTCGGCATCGGGACTGTGTACGCCGGCTGACTAATTAAAAATTCAACCGAAGAGTTAACTGAAGACGTTGCCCTTACATCTTTTTCCTTCTCTCTCTCGCTCTCTCTAGTTTTTTTTTTTATTATTATTTTCTTTCTCTCACTCTGTTATATTTTTTCTTATTATTTCCCACAACCTCTCTCTCTCTCTCTCTCTCTCTCTCTCTCTCTCTCTCTCACTTGTTCACTATTTTTCTTTTCTTGTACTATCTCTTGAGATTCTTTCTCAAGCTTCTTCGACTTACTCCGTTTTCCCTCTTTGATTTCCGAGCCTTGCGCCACGCGACCACGGATCACCTTTTTCATTGTTTTCATTTTTCCTTTTCTAGTTTTTTTTTCCTTCTACTTTTCTGTTTCTTCTTCTTCCTATTTTTTATCTCTTTGTTTTTTATTTCTTCTATATACTTTCCATCTTTTCGATGACACGAAGAACGAATGAACGGAACAACGTCTGTTCAACACGTTCTTACTACTAGTATGATACTTTTCTATTCCACGTCGACAGTTTTCTGTCATATTTTCCTTTGAGATTTGTAATTTTTATTATTAATATTATTATTTTTTGTTCTTTTTTTTTATTCTTCTCCAAGTTGCGAATAAAAAGAAAAATCTTGAGAAAACGTTCCGTATACTTTAAATGTTGCGATAGTTTTCATCATCAAAAATTTGATCATCTTATTCGAAATATTATCGTACGAATAATTATGTTAAATACATTCGTTAATAACTTTTACTCACGAGTATTCTAAGTTGACGTGAGAAAAGGCGGGTAAAATGGGAAAACCACGTGACTGGTTTATATTCGCTCTTCGTTCGTTTAAAACTTTTTTTCTTTACAAAAAAATCTAAAATAAAATTACTAATCGTATTAGAGAAATTTGAACGAATAAAAATAGAATTATCGAGATATCCTAAAAATAAGAATTTATCTAATATTAGGTATATATCTTATATACATATATCTCTAATGTTTACGTTATTTTTTTTCTTTACTTTACTTTTCTTCACATTTCTTCCTACAGATAGAAAAGATAGGAAGAGAGGAGAAAGAAGAAAAAAAAAGGAATAGAGTGAGAGTTAGAAACACGGTTGACTAAGATAAAAATGTAAACAAAGTATACGAAAAGTAACTAGTTGAGAGCGACGGCCGGTTGAACATAAATGACGACTAAAGGTTGGAAAACTTGTATAAAGTAAATTTATAAGAATAAATATCACGAGAGAGAGAGAGAGAGATAAGAATAATCGACCAAAATATAAGAAAGTGAGAGGGGGAAAAAAGATAAAAAGATGAAGAAGAAGAAAACGAGGATGAACTCACCTTGCGCGATCCTGACCGCGGGCATTTTGATCCTCATGGTGCCGACGTGGTCGTTCCTCGTTCGGATCCGTGTTGCACTTCCAAGGTGGTTTCCTCAGTGAAGGGACCGAGAAGGGACAGACGTACCAACGAACGAACGTACGAACGTACGAATGAACGGATTGGACAACGCCAAGGAGGAAGAAGAAGAGGAATTGATGTTAGTTGTTGGTCCTTTCCTCTCTTTCTGCTGATCCTCTCTCCTCCTCACTTTTTTTTCGCGAGGACGATAAGAGATGATTAACAAAAAAAAAAAGAAAAAAGGGACAGAAAAACAACCATATATATATATATAAATATATAAAGGTATAAACGGATAACTTTGATTAAGAAGAATATAATAATAATAATTATTATATGACGGCTAGAAGATGACAATGGCAATTATGATAAAGGATAGAAGAAGGGAGATTTGGAAAGAAAAAAAAAAAAGAAAAAAAAAGCGATTGTCCTCTTATTAACGTAACACACGTTTCACGTTATTAACGTCCTCCTATTGCCTGATGCGTTATTATTGTTGTCGTTGTCAATGTTGTTGTTGTCGATGTTGTTGTCGATGTTGTTGTTGATGTTGTTGTTGTTGTTGTCAAAGTCACGTTTAACCCTCACCTCCTCCTCCTTTTCCTTCCTATCAAAGAAAGAGTTTTCTTGTCCATTTATTCTACGTAGTCTATGACAATTTATATCGTATAATTTTCCTCTCCAAATGTCTCTCTTCTTCTTCTTCTCCTCCTCCTCCTCCCCTAACTCGTTCACCTCCAGCTTCACCACCTCTCTTATACACGTTTTGTTACGAATCAAGGGGAAACAACACACTACTGTCTATGAATGTGTCCAGCACAAAATTTTGTTTTCGTCTTATTCTTCTTCTTCTTTTTCTTAGTTTCTTTTAATCCTTCTTCTTGTCCTTCCGAAAGTTTAGAAATTAACTGACGACTCTTCAGTTTGGACTAAATTTAATTTCACAATAATTGTGTGTCCGTTAACAATGTCCTTTTGATCTTGATGTTGTCATCAACACAACAAACGTTGACTTAGCCGCCGTCGCCGTCGCCGTCGCCGTTTTTGTCGCCGACGCCGCAGCCGTCGTCGTCGTCTTCGTCGTCTTCGTCGTCTTCGTCGTCTTCGTCGTTTTCGTCGTCGTCGTAGTCTTATTCGTAGTCTTCGTCGTTGTCAACTAGTAATATACTCGTAACGGCTCGTGTCCCTCATGTTGTTCCACAATTGCGTTTTCCGCAGTCTCCCGCTCGCGAGAAAATACGACACACCACCACATCAGTGACACGCGAATGTAAAGTTTTACAGAGAAAGATAAAAAGAAATAAAGAAACAAAAAGAGAGAGAGAGAAAGAGAGAGTGTATGTCTTATATGAGGTTCAAATGAATTATCTAAGCTCGTTTCTTCACACACAATAAAATTAAAACTTTGAACTATGAAGGATACTTTCGTTGATAGATAAAGATAGACAGAGATAGCGAACCAGTCAATGTATATATATAATATATTATATATATATATATATGTGTGTGTGTGTGTATATATATATATATATATATATATATATGTATGAAAGATATAGGAGGAGAGAGAGAGGGAGAAAGAGAGAGAGAGAGAGAGAGAAGCAGTCCCACACAACGAACGTGACCGAAGTCAGGAGAAGGAAGACGACTTGACCGAAAGCGATCCGCAGGTGTCGAGACGCGTCGAGGTGTCGGCGGCACCTCTTCCGCCGCACTCGCGAGCGCGGGTAACACCACTTACTAACTACTACTACTAAATATACTACTTCTCTACTACCTTCTTCTTTTTCTTCTTCTTCTTCTTATTTTTCTTCTTTTACTACTGCACAACCAACAACAATAAACAGCTGCTGTTTTAACTATTATTCCTCCTACTGTCTTTTATTTCTTTTTTTTGTTATTTTTTTCCTCTCTCTCTTTCTTTTTCTCTCTCTCTCTCTCTCCGTTTTCGTCTTGATCTTTTTCTTCTTTTTTTCTTCTTCTTCTTCTTTTTTTTCTTCTTTATCTTTTCCTTCTTCCCCACTACTATTTGTAAATTTCGTTCTGAATAATATTCAAAACTTCATTTGCATAATTATAAAACGTCAAATAATAATATCACACCAGATTTTCACTAGTTCTTTTATTATTTCAAACTAATCCCGTCTTCGTACGTATATATATATTTATATATATATATACATATATATAATTTTTAATAACAATCTCCACCACTTCTTCTTATTATTATGATACACGTTGGACGACAGATCGCAAATTCCTAATACGATGTTACTTCAATAACAAATGTCATTTTTTATTCCTCTACTTCCTCTTGTTATTTCGTTTAAAGTCCTTGATAAAAAAAAAATGTCGACCAAAAAAAAAACTAGTATAGCGAGGGTAAAAAAAAAGTTAATCGTATTACTACGAATAAAAATTGTAGTCTTTTTGATTAATTAAGAATTCGTTTCGCGTTGACGACGGTGTCACGAGGTTGTTGTTGGTTCCTGGTGATTGGCTGATACCGGCGCCGTGGACCAGAGCGACGATGGTCCAGCATGGGTCGTATCTCTGAGTGGACTGTGCCGGACGGTGCGCCGTCGTCGTCGTACCGTACGGGACCTGGTGTGTCTCGGGCACTGCGCTCGCTTCGGACGCGCTCGGTTCGGCTCGGCACGGCGCCGAGCCGCCGGACACCCCACGCGCTCTCTCTCGGGGTAGTTTTCACCCCGAGAGTTTAGGTGGGGGTAACTATAACTCCCCTCTCTAGATAACTCTCCTTTCTCCTCCTCGCCCCTCTATCGCTTTCTCTCTCCAACTCATACTCTATATATACATTTATATGTATACGTATATATATAGACGAGATATACCTGTCTCTTTCTACTCCCCACTTTTAGATACTCCATCTCTCTCTCTCTGTTTCTCTTTCACTAACTCGTGGTAACTCACTCCCACTCGTAACGCTGCTAACATTACACGCTTCGCGTACACATGCGCAAACGTTTACATTCTCCGTATGTGTGTATCTCCAGTCGTACACTCGATCTGTCCGTCTGTCTGTCTGTCTGTCAGTCTGTATGTCTGTCTGTTTATCTCTATCTTTCTCTCTTTCTCCGATGATATGTGTAAAAGATGAACAGTTTGAAAAAAAAAAAGATCATTTCAACGTAACCAAAATGAAATTTGTTTTCCAATTATTTTACGTATATTTATATATAAATATTGTATTATTTTTCGTTCGATATCATGAACCCAATGAACGATTATATAATTCGGTGCAACGTGCTGCATCCGTCTTTCGCTTAGTAGATTTATGGACCGATCGTGCGATTAACTATGCACGTTCTCGTCGTCCTAGTCGTCGTCGTCATCCTGGTCGTCATAGTCATCGTCGTCGTCGTCGTCGCCGTCTTCTCCTTAAACTTCCCGTAAACACGTACCAGCAGAATCGTAGAGAAAGTGGAGTAGAGGAGCTAACCCGAAGAGGAGAGGTACCTGCTCTCTCACATTAATTATTCCTACTTGGGTAAAACAGCGAACCTAGTGTGCACGAGTTAACGATCGATAACGACGTTCCGCGATCATCGTGATCCATTTTCTTCGAGTTTAGCTTTTTCTTTTTTTTTTCATTTCCCCCTCTACCCTCCGTGCGATATTATTTTTTTTTCAACATATTACCCACCTGAATTCTTTACAACAAAGGTAAAAAGAAAAAAGATCAAACGGAAACAGATAATTATACTTTCGGGGAAGACCTTTAATTTAAAAAACAAAAGATTTTTCCTTCTTGTCTTTTCGAAGAGAAGAAACTATTCCTGTTTCATTTTTCTTTTTTTTCTTTTATGGTTTTTTTCTTTCATGGCAGAAGAATCTCGTTTTGGAAGTGACCAGCGACTAAAGTTGACCGTGCGTTGTGTTGAGCTTCCAAGTGACTTTTCAAAACTCTTAGAAATTATCTCCATCTCTTTCTATTTCTATTTCTATCTTTTTCTATTTTAAGGGGGTCCTGGATAGCATTTCCTAGACCCTTTGCAGTATCTACTTGGAACAATCTAGGAAAGGACAACGACGTTGGGCATTTTAAAAAGATCCAGTACGTGCCTTTGTTTCGGTGGATAGGATTAACGCGGGAATCGAAAAGTCCACTTCAGTTTCTTCTCTTTCTCTCTTATCTCCATTATTTCTATCTCTTTCTCATCGTACCAGTCATCTCAATGGAAGAAATCGTTGTAACTGGCATTCATCGATATATAAATAATACGTATGTATATAAGTGTGTATATGTAATATGTGTATGTATATATTGTTCGTTGATCGGGCAGCATTGAAAATGCGGCAAACGTTCGTTCGTTCGTTCGTTCGATCCCTCGATAGTCGATAGAAAGGACCTACCAGCCACGGTCTTTTGAAAAGGGCAATGGAAGCGCGGCACGCGACTTCTAGCGCGAATTTAAACTCGGCAAAAGTGTTTCGCGGTCGAAGGTTAATCCGTATTCTTTACGGTCGACGCTCGCGTAAACTTTAGTTTCTTCGAAGAAGACGACTACTTCTTACTTCGTTTCTCACATTCGTTTCATCTTCGATACACAATGATATATGTGATGGAAAAAGAACTTATTTATTTATTTTTAACATCAAATTTTATATATATTTTTATTTTTATACAATATTTCTATAGAAAAAGATAATGTAATTTTTAATTTTTGATGGTAAAAATATATTAATATTTAATTAATAATTTATTTAATAATATTATTTATTTAATTATATCTTTATTCAAATTCACAACCACGAATAGATACATTTATTATCTTCTAATTATATTTTTTTAATTATTTTATTTATGATAATACTTTATTGATAATAGATCAACTAGGTCTTATTTTAAATAATATAAATATAAAAATACCTAAAATGAAAATAAAATCAAATTGAAGGTGTAATAATGTAAAAATCTAAAATGAAAATACCCAAGCTACTAATCGCGATCATTTGACCCTAAGAACATATAGCGTGAACAAAAAATCATATATCCAATGAAATAATGTTAGATATAATAAAAAAGACACATATTCGCGATCTACTTTAACTAACTGGTAGATTTTCAAGGAGCGTCTCCTAAGATCTTATCGTTAACTTGGAATGCATAAGTTATCAAGGTGTTTATTAGGAGTAAGCACGCTTCGAAGAGAGGAGGATAGATAGTCCAGGTATAGAAGAGAAGGGAGAAGAAGGAGAAATTCCAAGTGCATC